AACCCTTTTTGTGAAGGTGGGTTAGTAGTACTTGAACATGACGCCGCAAGCACACTTGAAAGGGTGGAAAAAAAGGAAAGGGTTTGAATGTCAAAAGTAAAAAAAAAACACTGCTGAGTTTTATGCTTAGTCTAAAAAAAGAGTGCAGAGGCAAAACTCCGTTGCTGTGAGCAACCCCTTTCCCTCTCACTGGGAGATTTATAAAGGGGGGGGGAAGAGAAAGTGCTGATAAAATAATGCGGGTCCACCTGTGTGTAATAACAGCGCACTAAGCACGCAGAAGCTTCTGATTAAAAAGAGATGCGCTTTTATTGTGGTAAGTGTGCAAAACCCAGTTAAGACTTTAGGCACACAGAAATTTGAAGCTAAATTTCCTTAGTTTTAATACGAGAAAACATCTTGGTAAATATTTGATTGTGTGGGGGACTGGGCGACAGGTAGTACTTTTGACTCCGAATAATGATTAGTACATTTGTGAGGTTGCGTAATACTTACTGCATTTTGAACTCAAAAACGTATTTATTACAATTACGAGAAGCTTTTTGCAAATATATATAATTCATGGATAGCATAGAACAGTTATTGGCATGAAGTACATATTGGCATGAAGTTGACTTGGCAAAAGCGAGATGTTCCCCTTCACTTCTCGCTGAGGATGAATCGCGTGGGGGAACTACTGCCATAATGAAAATCTGAATCTCTGATGCATCAGGCTGATAGCTTTTAATTTAATTTATAATTTCTTTTCCCTACGAAGAGTTAGAAAATTGTTTATTAAAGGCTGCAACACAAATGCTCTGTCTCTTTTCAAATTTGGTCAAGTCAGTATACTTATAGGAAATATTAAAAAATATTTACTATGAGGATTAGTAAATATTTTAGTAAATATTTTTATGGAAATATTTAAAAATATTTACTATGAGGATTAGTAAATATTTTAGAAATTTTTATAGGAATATTTAAAAATATTTACTATAAGGATTAGTAAATATTTTAGTAAATATTTTTAGTAAATATTATTAGTGAATATTTTTAAAATAGAACATAACAAATAAAAATTAACATGGATTTTTTTTTAAACTGTATAATTCACTTCTGCCTGTGTAACAAGTTCAAGACTGAGGTGCAAGCAAAAAAATTTGAGATTTTCTTTATTATAATTGCGAAACAGACTTTTGTGTAAAGATATAAATCTTAATAAAAGTATCCGTTGTATAATCTTCAGCAGAGCTTTCTTAACACTATTATGGGCCCCTGCTCAAACCATTGTGTTTGAGGCTTCGTCACTAACAGAAGTGAAATGTAAATGGATTAGCATAGTCCTGTGCTCCTGATTCCCCTAGGCCCATGTGTGAAACGGAGTAAGCTCATAACGGAGTGTGTGAACGGAGTGAGTGGACGGACTCGTGTGTGAACGGAGTGGGCACTGTAAGAATAGTATCTGGAGTGGACGTAGTGAGCACTGTAAAAATAGAATCCACGGATCTGATCCCATGGATTTTATTCTTACAGTGACTCAAAAGTCCCACCAGCGGCCGTCCGATAAAATCACTGAACATTGGCAGTTCTGACCTGGGTTCGATTCTAGGCGAACAGGCTGGCTGCACGGGCGTTTTCGTGGTATTCCCCCATGTGTAAAATGTATACGAGCCAGTTTCTCTTAGAAAATATCCACGAAGGCATCCCTTCTTTTAGGCAGGTAGCCCTAATATGCTTTGCCATAATTTACTAAACCAAAACCAAAACGTACAGTGACAACAGGCAGATTCGCGTGGTATGATATTTTATCTTTGCCATTTCCAGTCATAACCAGAATGGTTATTAGCCAGCCTTTTATAAAGTATACTTTTGGAACCTGAATGAAATAGCGAGACATTCACGAATTCGACAGCACTTGTTCAGAAATACGGAAGTTATCAATAAATCTTGTTTTTATTTACGTTTTTTTGATACATTATTTTCATAAACATGCGCTTCGACGATCCACTGAGAAGCAAGAAAATAAATAAACAAAAAAATACTGGCCGTAGGGCTTGCGCCCCGCCCTTCTGACCCAAACACGAAAAGATTCGAGGACGTGGATCCAATTTGCCGTAAGAAGTGCCAACATATCACTGTGCCACTGACCGAGAGATGGCGCTCGCGGTGTTTGTCTGTAATGCCATGGCATTTCTCCAGGGAATATTTTTTCTGGTAAGACTTGATTACGCAAACTTAAGCGTGTTCGTGTTTTCAAAAACAAACTGTATCATTATTTTGAATTGTTCTTTGCTAATTTTTTTCGATGTCGTTCTGTAAATTAAAATTCATGTGAATAGCGATTTTTTTCGATAACTTTGAATAGTAAACAACTTGCGGACGACAGTAATCGAAAATGGAAGAATTGTCTAATTGACGCAACTGAAAATCGTTCAGGTAATTAAACCGCAAGCTTGATGGCGTTTTATTCGCCTAACATTTTTTCAGATTAAACTTAAAAAATAAAATTATATCGATACAGCATATGCACATCAGATATTGTGCACATGATTTGGAAAACGTTCTGTATTTCGGCTACCAATGCATCTTTAGCAATGCATTGATCTTTTTGACTGGCTTTTAGTTTAGTAGTGTAGTACTATTGGTAGTCCAGATATTGGGGGGGGGGGAATTCGACTGCACTGCAGTAGCATTTTTTTAGCCTAAAGCGCGTTAGCCCAGAAGGGCTATCAATTTCGTTTTGGCATTTTCCGTCGAAAACTATAAAATGTCCTTTTCACTTTTCAAATTGTTGCCACCAAATATTATCGCCCTGTGTTACATTTAAAGAAATACAATAATGAAGAATCTGAAAAATGTATGTATGTTCTCACCACTGTGATACAACAACGCTACGTACAGCCATCCAATTTTGAATAACGTAATCCTCCACCGAATATGGACATCTGGAATCCCTCATTTGGAATTCGGGTTATGATCAATTTCATATTTTGTAACGTTTTAACGAATTTTGGACCAACAAACTAAACGATTTCAAAAGCGAGCAATAGCAACACTGTATGGGAAGAGGGAAAAAAAAAAAAAAAAAACTTTTTTCTCCAGCGCGAGACTGTGTGTCGAAAATTCTAAGGATATGCTCTTTTTAAATTATTTTGCGACATTGCTGTTGAATTGAATTTTATGGTTTAAGTGTGAAGAACATGATATTTAATAAATAAAGGTAACACACAAAACGTTGAAAAAACAACCCTTTGGGCGTAATGTAAAATCTGCAAGCTTTCTGATTTTTTTAAAATTTTATTTGGCTTTTTGAGGTTTTTAGCACACCTTAAAAGATTTATTCATTAGGTTTCGTTCCGGACACAAGATGAACTTGAGGTGCCCGACATATGTCACCGATTATGTGCCATTTCTAGAGCCTTGTTATAAAAGAAATTAATGTAATGTATTGTAATGAGTCAAAGCAGATTATTTTATTATAAAAAAATGGATACATTATGGTGAATATAGCAACAGTAGCTCTAGAACAAAGCAAGTTTTGCATCCAATAAATGAACACGGCTCGCATTACAAATTTAAGATTAACATATATTGCGCGTATTTGGAAAGAAAGAATTGCTTAATTTTGAAACTGCCGAAAGGATTATAGAAGGTCTTACGTTTATAATTACGTAGTATGTTTTTCCTTCATGAGAGACTACCGTGTCATGTAAAAAGAAAAGTGAGTTGTCTGCATATAATGTCAAAAATTCTTATTCTGTGCGTTATCATTCTTTATCTAAAAGAAACTAATATTTGTAATAGATTTTCATATTAAAACAGAGAATGAGATGTACGAGTATTGCAACTGATATACTAATTATAGTATTGCAGTTGAAACAATGTTCATTGAACAAAGAGTCAGTCAAAGAATATTGCATTTTATCTTACGAAAATCATTATTAATGCAAATTATATGGTATTATCACTAATAAGGTACTTTAGTACAAATACTAATACTTGTATTAAAGTTAATGCAGTATTTAGAAATTATGAAATAAATATGTTATATTAATACGTGAAATGCCGCAAATGGATTTTATTCCTTTAAACGGTGACACTCAGATACAGAATAAAGAATTTACTTTTGAGTATCTGTTAACTGATAGAGCGTTATCCCAGAAGGGCTATTAATTTCGGTTTGGCATTTTGCATCGAATCACTATAAACGACGTATCACTTTTCAGATTGTTGCCACCAAATATTATCGTCCTGTATTATAGCTAAAGAAATTAAATAATGAAGAATCTGCATAAATGTATGTATGTTTCCCGCATTGTGATAAAACAACGGTACCTAGAGCCATCAAAATTTGAATAACAGTAATCTTCCATAGAATATGGGAATGTGGAAGCCCAAATTTGGAATATGTTTTATTATCTATTTCATATTTTGTAAAACTCTATCGAATTTTTGAATAACAAACACAACGATTTCAAAGCGATCAAAGGCAACACTGTATTGGAATAAAAAAAAATAAAAAAAAAATAATAATTATCAAAGCGCGAGACTGTGTATCGGAAATTCTAAAGATATGCTGTTTTAAATTATTTTGCGATACTGCTGTTGAATTGAATTTTATGGTTTAGGTGCAAAGAACATGATATTTAATAAATAAAGGTAACACACAAAACGTTACAAAAAAAAGGCCCTCTTTGGACGTAATATAAAGTCTGAAAACGTTAAGTTTTTTTAAAAATATTTTTATTGATTTTTAAAAATTTTTATTGATTAATAATATTGCATCATACTGAAAATGACACGGTTAGAAAATATATTTACTTAAATCATAAAATGTATATTCATTTAGGCAATAGATATTTCATATTACAACATGTAACTGGGGTACAGCATTCTTTCTTCCCGCTGCCACCAGATGGCGCTGTACATTTTCAGACAGGTTGCCTAGCAGAGTTCCTGGTGTGGAGCGTGTCCAAGATAAAGCGAAGCCAGGCCTATCAGTCATTGAACTTGACTGAAGCCACCCAATCTCTCTTTCCCCTGACTTGCTCTCTCGTTCGCTCACAGGCAGTGTGCGCAGCAAACCTACGAGACGGGTATTTTTTCCAGCCGCGGTATACCTTCGCTTGACATACCGCGTGCTACCAGATAGGATATATACTTTTTTTTTTTCCTTCTCACCCTCGCGCTGGAGGTGTTATATGTGTCTTTCTCCCTCCCTCATTTATCCCGTGCTTTTTTGTCTACCGAGTTGTGTTCAGTTTTATAGAACTGGGTGAAGAATTTTGTCCCGATTGTCTTCGTGTATTCTTACCATGTTACCTCTCAGCTATGGGTTGGAAGTGATACACTTCTTGGAGCATCCACACCACAACCGACCGGCTCTTCGGTCTCCAGAGTTGAAAAGGTAAGTGTGTTATTTTTCTTTTTAAGCACTTGCGTAATATTGCCCTATGCAAAATTCGCTCTGGGCTCTCGCGCTTAGAACAATAAATAATAAGGGAAATATTCGTAGGTAAGCATGTAAATACATATTGCATCTACAAATATTAAGACTTAATTAGTAAATATATATTTTAAATTTCTGAAATGTTCTCAAGATAATGCATGCACTTTGAGGTAGCTTCCAGGTGCCAAATCTGGGAAGTAAGAATGATCAATTAAGATCGTTTAATGCTTTCCATTGCTGTTAATTGCTTGAGGATATTTGCATTGTTCGAAAGGGCATTATCGTTAACAAACCTGCTACCTGGTACTGTCTTTTCTAGAGCGTGCTAAAATTTTTCCGAAGTTTTTTATATTATTTCTTCTTTGTAGACTATGGAGGTTGTTTTGTTTGTACTTCATGTACACATTCCATATGAGTTAATTCTACCTGTTCCTATATTCAAATGGCGCCGAAATCGAAAGAGTTTAAAATAACTTTTAATAAATTCAACTTACGTAAACCTAATTGTAAATACATAATAGTAGAAAATCCATACGTAAAGGTCTGGTAATAAAAACACAGTTAAGCTTTAAATTAAGTATTAGAACAGTTATATGTCAGTTGCATTGTAGACCCAATTTCTATCGATGACAGATCCGAAGCATGTTGCCAACGCAGGTCAACGAAAAGATGTAAATTATGGAAGTAAACACTACTTTTCAAAGATCATAAATATGGTTTTTCATCGAGACTCGGATAGCGAAGTATATACCAGGAATGAAGGAAACAGATTTTGTGAACCTAAAATGTGAAAGCTTTATCAGCGGTCCACAAGCATTAAGTTTGTTCACCAGTTGAAATTTGTCAACAACTATTCCGGTGAATCTTGGCATGCATGAGTTCTATTTCACATCTATTCTGCATGCGATGCATGAAACTAAAATCTGGCTATACGATGCTGATTATTTCTGGTAGACACATTGCTTACCTATCGTTTGAAGTGACCATTTTCTTTCCAAAAACAAGTTGAGATTGTTATAGTATTCTTTGCCTCTATTAATATTTGGTAGCTTCGTTGGGAGTGGTGGTGGTGGAGGGAGGAGTACTAAAACTTTGTATAAGCTCTGTGAAAACATAAATTTATATATGTATGAATAATTTTCAAGAATACGAATTTATTCGTGTAATTATGGTAGTATTTTTAAGCAGTTATTGTCGTACCATAAAAAAGAAAATTATTTCACACTTAATTGTGACAGTAGTAAATTAATAAACAAAATAAATAATACCAGTTTGTAAGGAAATAAATAAAAACAACTTATCTAAAGGTGTTGGAACTTTTAGTTCTCGTAAAAAACGTTAAGTTCTTTTTGATTTTGAAGTTCTCTGAGTATGTTCCTTTCTTTTAAATGCTAAAGATATTCAGAAACTGACGCGATTGTAAACAAAAATAATTCAAAAGAGGAAATAAATATATTTATCTGAAAATTTCAAAAATAAAATGAAATATTTTTAGTATTTATTAGATCAAAATTTACAATCAATTGTAAGATTAATTAAACATTTTTAATTAATTTTAACGTGAATTAATTTTTAATGGCGAGTTATTTATGTGCAAAATTTTTTCTAAATAATCTGATATATATTTATTTATGTTGAAATAGAATGAATGTGAATGAAAGTAATTTAATGAGAAAATGAAATATTTGTCATTTTAAGATTTTTATTAAATTAACGCCGTTTTGAAGAATAAGAAACAAAATTTGCCATAAAATTGCATTTTGTTTTTCGCGCAGTTGCCGGAATTCGATACATCATTTACTACAATAAATAATTTTAAATCTGTGATCAAAGTTTTAAATTTACGATTAACGAGTGCACCCTTCATATTTCCCCACTGAAAATAAAAGAAATGTAAAGACAAATCATATTTGCATAAGTTTAACAGTGATAATTACCATGGCATTCACAGTCACTTGCTGTTGCTTGTATAGTTGTGAATTTTTTAGTTAAAATGGCGAACGACGATGGTCGTCACAGCCTTGACAGTTTATCAACGTAATAACCTCAGACTGCAGTAAAATATGATCTGTAGTCATTATCAGTTACTTTTTATGGTGTTCATACAATACTGCAAACCGTAAAAACAGTATAATAAATCCTGTACGAAGTGCCTTTAAGTATGATGGAATTGCTTCCAAACGGCAAAGTTAAGAAGAAAAATTATATGAATGCAACGTATAATAGATAAAGAATACGTATGTGTTAATCTGCTGTTTATATTATGAAACAAAGTTTTTTTTATTAGTAGCTGAGTTTAAATTTCTAGAGAAACAAACATAAAATATTCATTTGGAACTGAGCAGAAAATGGCTGTCGTAAATTCAGCGTAATTTCAAAAGTCTAGTTATGAAATTTCTGACAACAGCTGAAAACCCAAGCGATTTTTTGTGTAGCCTTTCTTTTAACAGAAAGAATAATAACATTTTTATTATTTATTTATTTTCTAGTGTAAAACAAGAATACTGCATCTTTTATTTTCATTTATGCCATTGGAATAACCTGCTAGTAATTATTAACGTACAAACACGACTTCAGTACATGAAGTGCAATAGCCATCTTTTATAGGAATGTGCATTTTTAAATACTGAGAAGCACATTTAGTTGCTTAATTTATTTTATTCCTTTATTTTTAATTATACTGCAGTGATTCCAAAAATTCAGAAGTAATTGCTTAATAATAATGTATTTATATAGCATTACTTATGTTGCATAAACTTTTAATTTGCATGTAGAACTATTGTGATAATACAATAGAATTCTACGGCTGTTTTTAAAATAATCCCACGAACATATGCGCTTACAATTACTGTAACAAATATTTAAATTTGGTACTGTTACTATTTCAGTTTCAATGTGAAGAATATCAGATTTGTGATGTATAGTCGGTCTCTTACGATAAGTGTTTGATATGCAGGCATTGTAATAATTGCTATTTCGATAAATTTGATACATTATGAATTGACGTTTCATTTAAATAAAATCCACTTCGCCTTAAAAAGTTGACTAGGGTCCACATTTTATTACTACCTCCTCCTCTTCGCTTTGAGCTCTTTTATTTGCATAGACATCTGTATTTTCTTTAACGATAATGGCAACTGTGATGCAGAATTAGTTATCATGGCAACCAAGGTCACTCTTGATCCTACAAGGCAAATGGTAAAGGAGACGAAACAGTCGTCAGATAACAGCCTGTTTTACTTTGCTTCATTTTTGTTTTAAAGCTGCTTCTTTTTTTTTTTTTTTTTTTCCCAGAGTTCTGTACTTTTGATTAGTTAAAGTCATCTGCAATTTGTAATAAAAGCAAAAGCGTTGAATTTTTACCGGAACGAGAACTTTAATTAAACGTTTTTATGTAGTGCTAATGTAAGAAAATATTTTAATCTTTTACTCTGCGGTAAATACTTATATTTCCGTTGATACGGATTACTTTTAAAAGAGCCTAATACCACAGTAATTTTATTTTGTATTTAAGTTGTTAATTTTTAAACATTATATCTCCGAAATTAAAGTTTTCAATGCTTGATCTTAATATTTTATAATTTGTTGCAAAAATTTAAGTTTGCCGCTGTGAAGTTACATTAAAAAAAAAGAGAAAATTTGAAATTTTATATTACTCACAGAAAGGCGTTTTCTAACGTTTTGTGTGTTACCTTTATTTATTAAATATCATGTTCTTCGCACGTAAACCACATAAAATTCAATTCAACGGCAATATCACAAAATATTTAAAAACTGCAAAACAGCATATCTTAAGAATTTCCGATACACAGTGGCGCGCGCTGGAGATTTAAAAAAAAAAAAAAATTTTTTTTTTTTCGTGCTGTGTTGCCGTTGCTCGTTTTAAATTCGTTGAGTTTGTTAATCAAAATATTTCAAAATTTGAAACAGATAATTAAACAATTTCCAAATTTAAAATTCGGGCATCGAAGTGCCCATGCTCGGTTGGAGGACTACATTATTCAAAAATGGTTGGTTATATGTATCATTGTTTCACAGTGCGAGAAACATTCATGCAGGTTCTTCATTATTTAGTTTCTTTAAATATAATACATGGTGATAATTTTTGGTGGCAGCAGTTTGAAAAATGAACCAAAGCAGAAAGTGAAATGAAGCGAAATGCCGTTTTGAGACTAATAGGCCTTTTTGTCTAACCCCCTTTTGGGCTAAAAGAAAAAAAAAAAAAAAAAAAAAAAAAAAAAAGATTAATGTGAAATAGTTTATTTAATCAAAAATGCTGTATTTATATTTTAAATTGATAATCTGAAAGGAAAGTATTTTGGTATTTGTTCATTTCTTCGCGAACTGGTATCTCTATTTAATGGTTAAATATATATTTTTTTTACTAAATTAAGAGTCAGTATGTGCTTTTAAAATATAATATGCTAATGAGTGAACGCGAAAGATTGTAGGTATCATTTAAATAGGTAAAGTTAATATAAACATTCCTTTTGCATTTCGACATTATACAACTAAGATTTTATTTAAGAGTTGCCGTGAATTCTGCTTGAAGATGCATCCTTCTAATGAGTTAGGGGATCTTTTTGTGAGGATTTGCTGTACTGATATCTCGTGTGTCTTTACTTTTAAACCCTTCTACTTACTGTACATGAATCATCAATCTTTCTCCAAGGTAAAGAATTCCTTTAGATGCTATTAATAGCGTGCAGCTCTGTGTAACACGCAAAATCCCATGTAACAGATTTTCTTCTACAATTGTAAAACGTCTAAGATGTCTTGCTGTGCTAACAACATGTCTGTGCGGCTTAATTGCTCGGTGGTTCGCGAGCCAATGCTTACATTCGCCATTTTTAGATCGTAAAATTTGTGTGTTGCCAGAATTGAAAGTTATTAGGAGTCGAAGAACTTTACCTTTGAATGGTGGCATGCAAATACGTTTAATTTTTTTAAAAGCTATT